ACTCATGCACACACATACACACACACTCACAGACACACATACACACACACTCACAGACACACACACTCACAGACAGAGACACACATACACACACACTCACAGACACACACACTCACAGACAGAGACACACATACACACACACTCACAGACACACACACTCACAGACACACAGACACACACATACACACACTCACTGACACACACACACTCACTGACACACTCATACACACTCACAGACACACAGACACACACTCACAGACACACACATATACACACACACTCATACACACTCACTGACACACACATACACACACTCACAGACACACTCACACACACTCACAGACACACACATACACACACTCAGACACACACATACACACACTCACAGACACTCATACACACACACTCACACACTCACTGACACACACATACACACACTGACAGACACACACATACACACATACTCATACACACACAGACACACATACACACACTCACTGACACACACAGACACACACACTCACAGACACACACATACACACTCGCACACACGCACGCTCTGCTGCTGACAGACCTTCCTACCTGGATCTGAAAGAACTCGCCCATCTCCAGCAGGATCTTCATGGCATTGGCATGCTCCTTCTCCCCGTCAATGCCAGCCTGGGGGAGACAGGTCAGGCAGCAGGGCCCACAGGGATCCCTGCCCTTGCTAGTGCTTCCCACGGGCCGACCTCTCTTCCCTTCTTATCAGGCAGGACTCCCCGGGAGGCCTAACAAATGAACCTGTCCTGAAGGCCCTCACACCATCCCCTGTGGGCTGCAACCATTGCAGTTCCACTTCCAATTGTTTTGGCCACCTCCAACTTCTTGCAAGATGAAAAGGAAACGTGAAGAGCAAGGTCAGGATGGACGCGGATCCAACTACCTCTGAGCCTAGTCTCTTGCCTCAGCTTCAATTCCCCTGCTCCTCCAGCAGACGCAGCACCTACAGGCCTCTCCTCTGCTGCTGTTCCAGTCCCCACCAGAGGGGGTGAGTGGCTTGCGTGAGGCCACACAGCCAAACAATGTATAGGATTGTCCAAGTTACCCACTATGCCTTCCTGTCCCAAAGCACGCAAGAGAAAACAGTGAAGGAGACACGGACTCACCATGTACATGGCAGCTGCCACAGGCAGGTAGAAAGAATAGAAAGCTGTCTTGTACTTGACAATAGACTTGTACCTGAATCAGGGGAGAAGATGCATCATAAGGGCAAGCGCAAGCCCGAGTCCCTCGCTGTCTAGACATGGTTGCCACCGGCCCTCACCTCTTTTCAGTGTATCTGTCAAGATCCACATGGCCCTGAGGTGCTGTGATGAGGTCGAGAGTCTGCCCGATCTCCGTCTGATAGGAACTCTATGGAGGAAGGGTAGCAGGTGCCTCTAAGCCGGGCTTTTTGCAGGAATGGGAAACACTGGCCCCCAAGCCTCATACCCCAAGCAGCTGACAACCAGGCTCAAATCACACAACAGCCTCCTTCACTGACTCTTCCTGCCATCACCCCCTTCCCAGGCAAGCCTAGCAGAGCAGGTGAGCATGTGCCCAAAGAGTACGGGGACAAGAGCCTCTGGAGCCACAGCCAACAGCCCCAGCTGCATCCCACCTGCAGAAAGAGCTCCAGGAGGTTCAGGTAGTAGGGCTGCTCCCTGCAGTAGAACCTCAGCAGGCGGTAGATGCAGGCTTCCAGGAGCAGAGCGTCGTTGATGGCATCCAAGCCTATGCCTGGCTGTCAGAACAGAGCGAAACAGGTTACCTCTGGTCAGGTTCAACCATCACAGCAGACACTCCAACCACCTCCCTGTGGCCTGTTACCATGCCATTGTTACCTTCCCGTCTATATTACCTTCTGATACCAGCAGATCTGTCCACGGCGAGTGAGCGAGGAATCCATGATGTCATCTGACACAAGAAAGAAAGCCTGGAGCTAGGAGGAAGAGAGGAGTCAGACTCCCAGGGCCCCTCAGAGCCTCCTCACACACACGGCTGCTGCTCTGGCCACTGGCTGGGAAGGTTGGTGTGCGGACCCTGACAGGTTCTCCACTCAGAATCCACATGCTAAGAGACTAAAATGGAACTCTGCCATCTCTAATTTGCTTAAGACATCCCTGGTAGCAGAAAGAGTATGAAACATCTTCATGTAGTGCAAAACGTTAATAAATTTTTGTTCCAGTAAGTGATTGCGTTGACTAGTTTTAGGCCAATCTGACATAAGCTATAGTCATTTGGGAAGAGCCAACCTCAATTGAGGGAGACGGTGAGATATTTTTACTATGGGTGGTGCCACCCCTGGGCAGGTATGAGCAGGCTAAACCAGGCATGGTGGCACACACCTTTAATCCTGGCACTCAGGAGATAGAGGCAGGCGGATCTCTCTAGAGACCAGTTCAAGGCCAGCCTGATCTACAAAGCAAGTTCCAGGATAGCCAGGGCCACACAGAGAAAACCTGTCTCAAAAAAAAACAAAACAAAAACAAAAACAAACAAACAAAAAAACAGAAAGACAGGGAGAGAGCGAGACAGACAGACAGAGAAAGCAGACTAAGCAAACCATGAAAAGCAAGCAGCAATCCTTCATGGCATCCGGGTCTCTTCCCGCCCTGACTTCTCCAGTGACAAACTGTTATCTGGAAGTGTGAAATAAAATAAAACCTTTCCTCTTCCCTAAGCTGCTTTTGATCATGGTGTTTTATCACTTCAATAGAGATCTAAGACAGTGACTTCCATTTTAAAAATTGGCTACAGAGATGGCCCAGTGGTCGCTCTTGCAAGGGCCCAGCTCTGGTTCCAGCACCTATATGACTGCTCATAACCATCTGTAACTATAGCTCCTGGAGATCCAACGCCCTCTTCTGGCATCTGTAGACACTGCACATACCTGGTACACATACACACAGGCAAAACAATCATACATGTAAAATTTTTTAATCATAAAAAATGAAATGTTAGGGCTAGAGAGATGGCTCAGAGGTTAAGAGCACTGACTGCTCTTCCAGAGGTCCTGAGTTCAATTCCCAGCAACCACATGGTGGCTCACAACCATCTATAATTCACTCTGGTGCCCTCTTCTGGCATGTAAGCAGAACACTGTATATGAGATAAATAAATCTAAAAAAAAAAAATGAAATGTCAGTCAGACGTTGGTAGAACACGCCTTTAATCCCAACACTCGGGAGGCAGAGGCAGAAGGATCTCTTTGAGTTCGAGACCAGCCTGGTCTACAGAGTGAATTTCAGGACAGCCAGGGCTGGCTGTTACATAGAAACCCTGTCTTCGAAGAGAAAAAAAAATGAAATATTAATTGAAAAGTTTTATTTTATTTTATTTTTTTGCCTTTTCAAGTTTTTTTTTTTTTTTTTTTTTTGGTTTTTTGAGACAGCGTTTCTCTGTGGCTTTGGAGGCTGTCCTGGAACTCACTTTGTAGACCAGGCTGATCTCGAACTCACAGAGATCCACCTGCCTCTGCCTCCCAAGTGCTGGGATTAAAGGCGTGCGCCACCAACGCCCAGCTAAGTTTTTTTTTTTTTTAAATCCATTGGGAGGCCACCTCTATAGCCAGGGCAGAGCATGTAAACCTCCAGCAGCTTTCACACCCACCCTCTCCCAGAAAAGAGAGGAAGGGATGCAGTGTCTGTCAGGCAGGGTCTAAGACCCGGAGAATGAGGCCGACTTCCAGTGACACACCATCAGCACCACTGTTTCCTCCAGACAGAGTCACCTTGAACTTCTTCCTTTACTCCGTTTCCCAGGTGCTAAGACGTGCCTGCCACCATGCCTGGGTTTATGCTCTGCAGGGGACAACGCAGGGCTTCATGCCTGTGAAGCAGCGCGATGCCAACCCAGCCTCTTTCCTGTAGTCTTAGCCAAGGGCTCACCTGAAGTAAGGGTGCATTGTCCCTCGAGGTGTCCCTCTGAGGGACTGACCTCACAGTGGTGCCTCCCAACAGCTCTCTGTTAAGGATACTGAAGAAAGGAATGCTCCATGCCCATGATGCTTTTGATTTTTGTTTCCTTGAGACAGAGCTTCACCATGCAGGCCAGGGTGGCCTCTATCTCAGGAGTTCAACTAACCTCAGTGCTGAGCTCACAGGACTGTACAAGAATAACAACTTCTTACAGTCAGAACACACGGCAGTTTTTGTTATTGGATTATTTGGTTTTGTTGTGCTGTGTCAGAAGTGCCGAGGATGGAAGCCAGGGCTTTACACATGGTAGGAAAGGGTTTTACTACTATTTCTAACCTGCCCTCCCCACCCCAAGATGATATATTTTCTATTACTTTTTTCAGTGATTATCGTGTGTGGGGCATGTGCTTGCTGCAGCACACATGCAGATATCAGAGGAGGACATCAACGTTGATTTTCTCTTTCCGACTACACACAGGTTCTGGGGATGGAACTCACTTCACAGGCTTATTCAGTAAGTGCCTGAACCACCGAATCGTGTTCCAGCCCTTCCCTGTCGCGGCAGGGGGTGTCTGAGTGTGGATCCACACTGCACAGCATGCAGTGGGGTCAGAGGACACTTTCTTCTGCCATGGGTTTCAGAGGTCAAAACTCACTTCTTAGCCACCCGACAGCCTTTTATTTTCCGTAGAAGTCTCTCCACTATGCTGGAGTGGGAGTGACTGGGAGGTAGTGATGGCCTTTTAGAGCCAGCACGTGGCTGCAGCCAAGTGAACATGTACATGTTTGCATGTGTTGTGTGTTACATGTGTGAACGTGTTGTGGCATGTACATGCTTATGCGTATTTACAAGTATAAGTTTGTGCATATGTGCTTATGTATGGTGTATGTGCTTGTACAAATGTGGAGATCAGAGGCCAACACTGGGTGTCTTCCTCACTTTTTAAATTTATATACATACATACACACACACATGCATATATACAAATACATTGTTTTGTTTTTGTAATAATCTTTATGTATGTTTTCACACATTTGGTAAAAATATCAAAGTTAGGAAAAAATATGGAATGCTTCATGAATTTGTTGAACATCCTTGCAGTGGCCATGTTAATATTCTCTGTATTGCTCCATTTTTAGTATATGATATGTGCTGCCAATGCAAGCACTATTTTATTCATATGGCTGTTTTGTCTGCATGCATGTCTGAGTATCACGTACATGTCTGGTGCCCACAAAAGCCAGAAGGGGACGTCAGATCCCCTCGGTCTGGAGTTATAAACAGTTGTGAGGCACCCTATCGGTGCTAAGACGTAAACCCAGGTCCTCTCTAAGAGCAGCCCCTCCACCACATTCTCTAAGATAGCATCTATCACTGAAAACGTGCTGGACTAGCCAGCCACAACCTCCAGGGATCTGCGTATCTCTATGCACCCCTCAAGGGTATTACAGTTGTACACAGCTACAGGTGGATAGTGAGGAACTGAAGTCAGGTGGTCTTGCTTGCCCAGTAAGCCTCTTACTGACAGACCCACTGCTCCAAACCCTGGAAGTCTGGGTTGTATGTGTATGTGTCTGTGCTGCATGCGTTTGTACTGTGCACAGACATGGAGGCAACCAGGGATCCCCCATGTCCTCCACGTCATTATCATTATTATTATCATTATTATCACTGACTGGCTAGACTGGCTTGCTTCTAGCTCTGGGGATCTGCCTGTCTCTGCACCCCAGCACTAGCATTATGTGCCACCACACCTCACTTGTGTGTGTGTGTGTGTGTGGGCACGAGCATTTGGGAGTAGAAGCCAGAAGAAGATGTCAGGTGTCCTGTCTTTCACTTTACTCTTTTTCTTTGAAACAGGATTTCTCTCTCACTGAGCCTAGAAGGCCCAGCCAGCCACCTGTCTCTGCCTGTCATGGCACTGGGATTATGCATGAGCTCACAGCCACAGCTGGCTTTTTTATGTGGGTGCTGGGATCCAACAAAGTGAGTCTTCTTCTTGTGCAGAAAACTCTTAACAGCTGAGCCATCGCCCCAGCCTTAACTTCCCCTCAACTCAGGACAGGGTTTCTCTGTGTAGCCCTGGCTGTTCTGGAACTCCCTCTGTAGAACAGACTGGCCTCGAACTCAGAGATCTGCCTGCCTCTGTCTTCGGAGTGCTGGAGTTAATGGTATACACCAGCACACCCAGGGAGATTTAAGTTGAAAATTTCTGAAACTTCTCTGTGCCCATCCATCAGTGCCTGAAGTGATTCACAATGCCTAAATTTGACTGTAGCACGTAAGAGACACAGAAACATAAACACGAGCAAGAGACCCCCAACTCCGGGAAGCCCCTGCCTCTCCCCACCATCTTACCAGTTCCACACACCAGCCCACTGTCAGGGCGCGCTGAAGACTCTCAGCATCCTGTTTCTTGGGCTCCACCAGCTCGCGGAATGCTTGCAGCACAGTCAGACCCCGATTGTACTTGCCTCCTACGGCATTGTACTCTAGGACCTGAGGGAGGTAGAAGAGGACATCACAGGCTCCACGGGAGACATTTTTCCTTCCCTTCTCCCTCTCTTATTCCCAACTCTCCCTTGAAGACCCCTCTTCGTTTCTTCTCCAAGGTCCTACGGCACAAGGCTGTAACTTCCACTATTACCAAATGCCATGCAGAGTCCACACCTCTACTGGCTTCTTTAACCCTGAACCCCTCACCTCCTTGAGCCGGGTAATGGCATCGCCTGTCTCTGGGTGGCCTAGCCCGTCCTCAGTCAGCACCTTCACGATCTGGGAGAAATGCTGGATGAAATCCTGCCTTTCTTGGTTGCAAGCATCCAATTTCTGGTTCCCATTCATTCTGAGAGAGGAGCAAAATACTCTTAAGGGAAACACACACACACACACAAATGAGCGGTCTACTCTGGTATTTCCCTCCCCGAGGCCCCAAACCCCAACCACACTCACCGAGGCTCCTCTGTCCACACTTGGCACCACCAGCGGGCACTGTGCCAGGCCCCCAGGACTGGACACCCATATGCCAGGGAGGGTCGTTGTAGGGAACCAAACCACCTCTCCCGGGGTGCCCAGCAGGGGGCCGGCAGCAGGAAGACTCCCGCAGATCTCAGCAAGCGGGACAGGGGCATCCTGGGTGGGCATGGGGGCGGGGGCACCAACCACTCTCTGCAGGAGCAAGCACCGAAGGCAGATGCTTGGTAGCAGTTACCTCTGATACCCCCAAACCAAGCTTTTTACCTCCTGCATCAGAATGCCCCACCCTGTTACAGCTCGAATTCAAGAATTACAGAAAGGACAAACAGGAAATAAAAACGTATGTCGGGGTACTGAGATCCAACGGATCTTCACTTAAGCCGAAAAGACTAAAAACTGAGCGCTTTCAACTTCCAAGGCTCCATCCACAAAGCTGGGGAGGTGGTACCGAGAAATAGGGGATCAAAGTCACACTTAATGGAGAGGCCAAACTGAAGTTCTGGGAGTAGTTATGATAACGCAGAGCCAGAACTCGAACCAAGAGGTCCGCGTGCAGGGGAAGGAGGTGGAGGCTCAGGGTCCGAGCTACGCCAAAGGATGGGGCTGGGACCGATGGTGCTGAGGGCCTGTGATCGGGAGCCCAGGGGCTGGCTGGCCTGGTACTAACAGCTGCTGGCCTCCGAACAACAGGTGGGCGTGAGGGCTCACAGGAGTAAACCCGAGGGCGCGCGCACAGGGCTCGAGGGACACACCAGCGCAGAGTTTAGAAATTGACGCTGCTCGGTCCGGCCCACGGACCCCGAGACCAGTGACTCCTACACAGGCTGGCCCTGCGGCGCCTCGCAGCGTCACCAGATCTAAGGCAGGAGCACACCTCGGATCCAGCCCCAACAAAAGTTCTCACCTGTCGTCAACGCGAGTTCTCCCGGTGTCCAAGATGTTTGCGGCTGACACCTAAAAGCCGAGCGCGCTACGCGATCACCACTCTGGGGCTTGTAGTTCCCAGCCTCCGGGCTCCGTAGGTAGAAACTACATATAACACTACGACTCCCAGCATGCCGCGGACCAGACCGCGGAAAACGCCTGCGTGTGCAGCTGGGTAGACGAAGCCGAGCCCGTTGATTGGCTGAATGGCCTCGTGTGAGCATGGGCCTTGTGACGGCTGACCAATGAAAGGGCGGCGCGCGGGCCATCAGCCCACTGATAGGTGGGAGGTGTCAAGCGAGAGTACACCCAGATCGAGAGTCAGGGAGCTTAGCAGCGTTGTGGGCGTCGCTCTTCCAGTGCAACTGGTTGACATTGTTCTTAAGACCCCGGAATAACCAGTCTTACAGATTCCTATTTCCAACTCAGGCAAATCATTTTCTAAATCTTAGATTGTAGCTGGGTGTGACAGCTCAATTTTCCAACTCTTGGGAGGCTGAGGTAACAGTTTTGGATTATATAGTGAGGTTTAGGTTACTCTGAAGACTATATGATTATGGGGGGGGGGAACCTTCCTCCTAGGGCTGGAGATGGCTCAGCGGTTAAGAGCACTGGCTGCTCTTTCACAGAACCCGGGTTCAATTCCCAGCACCTACATGACAGCTCACAACTGTGTGTAAGCTCAGTTCCAGCAGATCTGAGGCGCACATAGACAAAACATCAATGTACATGATATATAAATGAACTAAACAAACAAACAAACAAACAAAAACAACCAGGTTCCCTTAAAGCAAAAAAGATAAAACAGAAGTTTGAACTATGGCCCTAAGTTGGTCAGCCTGCCAGGTTGACTCCCTCCCAAACCATTCCAACCAGGAAAGACAGAGACCTAAGACTACAAACTAAAGAACTAATGGATTTGTCATTGTAGTGTTAGAAATAAGATCAGGGTCTCAAAGAAAGAGACCACCCCCACTCCTAAATGAAGGGTCTGGACAAGGCAAACCTTATTCTGGTGGTGACAGTGCTCCACACCCCCATGCCCGGGACGGGTGTTTGGACCTCATCGTCTTAATTCAGTTGTCTAGTCTTTAAAGAATTGATGCACCAGAAATGAAGGATGAAGGAGAAGGAGGTCACTTTTCATGTTCCTGCATAAACAAAGGACAGCTTTTTTGGTTTTTAGTTTTTGGGGGGGTGTTAAAAAGATTTTAATTCCTTGTCCTAAATGCAAATTTTATAGGATTTGATAGAAAAGGCTTGTTTAATATTTCTAACTGTAAGAAAACTCTAATAGGTTTTCTGTACCCTACTAATAGGTTTCTCTGCCAATGCAGTAAGTCAAATCAAGAACAGGCTTATTTTGAACAAAGTAACTCCCAGGTGAGTCCTCCTGCCCCCAGAGATCAAGGCAGGAGAAGGGACAGGAGAAATCACGTGTCTAAACTAAAGCAGGGAGTTGAAATATCCTGTAGATAAGGGCTGATGACTGTCCTTCATAAGCTGGGCTTGTGCCCACTATGGTGTGCTTTAGGTGGGTTTTGGGCCTCTGGCAACTTCAGGGAGGAGCCCCAGCAGCCACCAAGAATGTGGAACTGGGTTTTTTGGTGGTTCTTCTCTGTTGGAGATGCTCTGGGGGGGGGCAGGGTTTTGAGAGAGAGAAAAAAAAAGCTTTCCAAGGATCGAGCTTGAAGTTCCTGCCAAACAAATTAAAGTCTGCTTTTGCTGCTACTGTGCCATATCGAACTGGAAGCTAGAACAAGAAGAATTCTACAAAAAAAAAAAAAAGCAAAACAAAACAGAAAATATGAGGTGAAAACAGCTGTTCCAGGCATACTTCCACAGAGACAAGCCACAAGAAAGCTGGTGAACTCCGTTGAGTTCGAGGCCAGCCTGGTCTACAGAGTGAGATCCAGGACAGTCTCCAAAACAATACAGAGAAACCCTGTCTTGGAAAAAAAAGAAAAGAAAGCTGATGAAAAGTTTTTGCACCCCCATCAGCTTCTCTGCAGCAATCCAAATCACACCAAATCAAACCAAATTAGAAAAAGCCCACACTCAATGGATAAACACACCCAGATGATTTTCCAGCCCTCCAGAGAGGAGATGGAAAAGGGAACAATTTAAATACCTTGTGGGAGTGGTCTTGAGTATTTCTGGGAGAGGGGTCACCATTTAGTTGGCTTTCTGAGATTAGGCTGGGTTTGGAAAGACTGAGATGGGGGAAGGAACTTCCTTCCATACACACATCATAATTATAAATAAGTA